ATCATTCATATTTGGTCATGAAGTATACGAATCGAGCTAATTTTACGTTATGAACCATTTAGATTAGATAACTATAATTGGCTTTATTTGTGTACACTAATAGTCAAAAACATGTGATATATTTACGTTTTCCTTGTTTGGAAAGTATGTCTTATCGGGTAAGATCTAATTATTTTTTTGTTTATCTAAATGCAGATTGATCTTAAAAAGCATCATTTGTTTCTATCTTTGGGTTGAGTGCCAAATGGTGCGACTGTATCTTATCAAAACATTAAGTATAATGAACAAGCACAAATCGAGAAGGGGTCGACATTATTGAATTTTTTTTTCCGTGTAGACACCAACTAAGTATACTGAGTGTCAATAGAAACGCAACACCCCTATTTGTTTTCTATAATTATGTACATTCGTTTCGTCAAAACTTCTTTAGAATTAAAATCTGTCAAAGTTTTTGTCTATTCAAACAGACATAATTATTACAAAATATACTATAAATTTTCACTTCTTCGTACTATGAACATCAAAATTATTTATTTTGTAAAAATATCTCCTTTCTCTATTTGAACTGTACACGTATACCTAACAACAATATTATTTTCATTTACCTGTGTTTAAAGCAATTGCAAATGGCTGATATTTTTGTTCAAGCATATTGTTTTTCTTAAATTGTTTAACATTTTACAGCGGTATAACATGTTACTTTTATTATTCTTCCCTTAGTTTATTTATTTTGTATTTACATTGTATCATAGATCATATTTATTTGTTCAATGTATGTTCACTGGTGTTAATTTGTCTTTTGATTGAGTTAATCCATTTCAATTGATATTTTATAGTGTGTCTTTCTATGGTGTGATGTTACACTATTGTTTCAGATAAGGGTGAATGTTTGGTACCATTAAAACGTTTAAACCCGCTGCAATTGTTTGCACTAGTCCTAAGTCAGGAATCTGATGTTGTTGATGTGGTTCATAAGTGTTTCTCGTTTCTCGTTTTTTATATAGATAAGACCGTTGGTTTTCCCGTTTGAATGGTTTTACACTAGTTATTTTTGGGGCCCTTTATAGCTTGCTGTTCGGTGTGAGTCAAGGATCCGTGTTGAAGACCGTATTTTGACCTATAATGGTTTACTTTTATAATTGTTTGTCTTGGATGGAGAGTTGTCTCATTGGCACTCATACCACATCTCCTTATATCTATAAACATAATTCTCGGCTAATTTTAGCATTATCTGATTTAAAATTTTCCGTGGATAAATTAAGAAATTATAAAGAAGCTAAGGTTTCAATTCCCTCAGGCAAAGTTGACCTTACATGAATTCGGCTAGTTTTTAAGTCCCTTTTCTTAAGGATGTATTCTTCTGATGTATCAGTCTCGTTGACATCTCGTTCGGGAATTATTTCCAAAACATGTGATACAAGTGGAATATATTAATGAATTAAAAAATTATATAATCAAACTAAACTCTGTGAACAAATTGTGTACTTACAATCAGTAGTTTTTGAGTAATAAATTTTTCAAATTTTATAACCAATCCGGTCAGTTTCATCAGCCAAAATGTTGGGAAAATGGTTGAGGGGTACAAAGAAATGATTTTACCAAATATATGTTCATCCCATATCTTCTTTTAAAAATTCTTAGATATGTATTTTTCAATCATTTATAACAAATAAGTTGAAATTATATGCTTTTTGTTCTAAAAAAAAAAGAGAAAAATCCCAAATTTAACAAAATTGACAGCATGGTCAATTTGACACGAAAAAGCAACAAAATTTTATAAAACTTTCTAATATTAACACCAACCTATGGTTTTTTAAAGTTAATATTTTTCAGATTGGTCCACTTCTTCTTTAGTGAAAGTATGAAAAAAAGTTTTAATTGTGAAACTGTGATTTTTTTCTTTATAATAGCTCAAAATGGGTAAAAATTGATAAAAAATGGGAAAATCATTAAAAATGGGGTACTTTCAAATGGCCGTAGCAAAAAGAGAAGTGCCCCATCATATGATGTTTTCTTCATCAATCACTTTCTTACAGTCATTTAAACCCAAAAATCAGGTTAAGAAAAAAAGTTTAATTCTAGAAATAGTTGGCTCCTCAGGTGTACATCCTTAATATAGCTCCTCATATGTTTAGGTCTTTTATACATCCTAGGCTTTCAAATGTTTTGGTTTGAGCAATCCTGTTGAAATAAATAAAAAAACAAAAAGCCGTTTGAACGCAGGTTATTAATTTTAAAACTGTTATTTTAATTTTTAAATTCAAAGATTTAACCAAAAAGTTAAAATTTAGTCTTATTCTTCTGATAAATTTTTATCATAAAGACAAACAAAAATGATTGTAAAGATAAACCAATATCAGGTTTACGTGCTTTACCCTACTGGACAGCATGACCAATTAATCTGTAGCCTGTTTTGTATTTTTACTTTGACCTCTTGGAGACTTTTATACGACTTTTGAAATTAATAGCAAACGAAATGACGACTTTAAATGTCAAAACTTTAATCAAATGGTCGATGATAATTTTATTTAATGAATTTGGCTATCTAACCATAAAACATAAAAAGGAGATTGATATAATGTATGCATTATTGTTAAAGGCACAAGACCGGGTAAACCAATTCTTCCGTAAACAGAGAGGTGGAGTGAAATTCCAACAAACATTTGTTGTTATTACATGTACCCCCACTTTCTATATCATCTTCTAATTCAAATAAATGTCTACCATATCTTCTGATATGGGTTATGTCTTGCCAAATACATAATTATTAACTTCATCCGTCTACATACCATACTTATATTTAATTTCTTGTAAGTGTCTTTGACCTATTGATTGTTAGGATATAGATAATCTCTATTCTAAAATACGGTGTGTACTTTAAATTTTCTACCTCAGCTATATATTGTCTGATCTATCTTATTTTTGTTTAAGCATTATCTTTTACAAGTGACTCTTTAGCACTGGTTAGCAAACGTTTCCTATCCCGTTTTCATTCATTATAATAATAAAAAGTGCTCTCTTAACCACTCATAAACTATAAACCTAATTATTGGTTGAATTTTACAGATTAAGATTAAGATATAAATGTTTTGTCTGAAATTGTTTTGTTTTTTTGTTTGTTTTTTTTTTCGATTGTAGAACAATTTGGTTTTGCTATTACTTGATTGTAGCTGCGCTGTTCATCGTGTGTTTTAAAACTACGACACTTTATATGAGGTAAGACGGTAAACAAAAAGGGGGAGATGGGTAAGCGCATGCCGGAATCGGCAGTGGATGGTTGATGAGGTCAGTTGTTGCTTTTTGCCTGTCATCCCTATGTATCCTTATTACCATTCCATTTCAAACGATATTTTCGTATTAAATTCTATGCCTAAGTGTTAATATTTTATTTATACCATTCAGCTGAGATTTTCCGCTGTCTCAAAATTCTGGTTATATATATAAAGAAATTGTGAAAACAGTAAAAAGAAGAAAGAGATTCTATAATTGTTAACGCTACGAGGTGAGTGTTACATATACGAATGATCTTCCTAAGTATCTTCATTCTAAACGTAGTAAGACTGATTCTAAGAATTTTTCTTTTTCCCATAAAAGGAATTGCTGGCGTGGATACAAATCTTTTTTCTTATGAAGGGACAATCATACTCAAAAAAACAAGAACCATTCTGAAAGCAGCAAATTTCTGCGAAACTGCTATCTTCAAGACAGTGTGTCCAGTTTGTTTTAAATTCTATCTTAAACAAGAAACAATATTTGATTTTGTCGAAACTTCGACTGATAGTTTATTCTTTGCAATTCTTATGTCTCGGTATTGGTCATGTATCGAAATATTTCGTAACCTATATATAATTTTGAACGATTTCTGTTTTTCCAAAATAACACATTTACATAAATTTTCATTGGTGAGGTTTTTTTTTAAAGAATGTTGTAATCATAATGCTTTATTCTTGTTACCGTTTATTAGATCTTCCAACTTTCCGAGGTAAGACCTTTTGATTTTGTTATGATTATCTTTTCTTTTGTACCTTTTGTTTGGCAACCTGTCGACAAGTTATTTGGTATATGATATCGAATTTTTATTGCGCTTTAGAAACTCGCCCTTTTTAACCGAATACTTTCCATATAGAAGATTTATCTCCCCTTAAACCGTTTTCCTGTTATCACTTCTCATTAGAAAGCGTCAAAGTTATCGCTAAATTTTTTTTCTTCAAAAGTTTCGTTACTTCCTTATGATGATCTGTTAAATATGAACTGAGGTAGTCTGGTTACAAAAAAGAGTTATTTCCCGTTTTGTGTTCGGAAGGAGTGGCATGTGTTGGTACAATGTAACTCAAAAACCGTACGTAATAGAGTTCCAGAGGCTTTTCATGTGAGGTCCTTGGTCAGTTAACAGGAAAGTTAGGTCATCGTCATCTTAAAATTTTAGCATTTTACTAGCACAACTCATTATAAACCGTAAAAGTTGTCGACATAATTTTTTTGGCAAATTGTAAGTTGATATATGACGATACGCCTTTTTACATTTGATCAAAGAGCTCTGGGGACTTTTTATCGGACTTTCTCCCGTTAAATATTCAAAATAAACCTTTTTGGTAGGATAATTTTTGCTTAAAATTTTTGATGAAAATGTTTTAAGTAAAACCATACACGATAACTATCAAATGAATTACATGATTTATTAAACTGTAGTCTGCATTTTAAACAGGGAAAAATAATGACCTTTCGGGTTATCATTTTACGTCTTGAAGCACACATTCATTGAAAATTGTTACGTCCGGGTTGATTCTTTAAAAGAAAGACATATCTTTCTGAAAGAAAATAACTCAATAAAAGTATAAAATACAACAGAAAGATCGAACTCTCCACTGCTGAGGGAATGAACATAAAACTATTATAACTATTATTATTCGTCTGATTGGTGAAGCAAGCTCAACCTTGATTGTAATATTTTGCTGCATTTGATATTATCTCCACTAATATTATTTAGAAGCATGACTGTATAAGATCATAATTACTAGATCGTATTAAACGACTACAAGTATCGATTATTTATTTTTAGATGCAGGTTCTTCCTTGTTGAATAATACAGATTTTAGATGGACTGTCAATCAAAAAGGTACGAAATTTACATTTAATCATTTAGCATTGCTTTAATATTTCATGTAACAAAATTTAATGCATTGTGAAAAAAACCCAATTAATAAAAGTAAGTATCCAAAAAGCATATTTAATTGTCTTAATTCTAAATCGACAGACACGGATCATTTGTGATATCTCAACATTTTTCCATAAAGGTTTTGTGTAAGCTCGTAACCAATATTCACTGTAAATATTTTTCATAAGCAAATGTATAAAAGTTATCAGATGTTTATGAGTATTCCAAGATTTGCATATTTTAATTGTTTCCATCTTGAATGCAAAATTCTCTTTTTCTAATCTAGGATGACATTTTTCTGCAAGTTCACAACATTGTACTACATGTAAACAAATATACAAACAAAACATCGAATAAATGACCTGCGCAAGTTCAGCTAAGAATTAGAATATCAAATATGAAAGAGAAATATGAAACCTGTAGTCAATCATTTCTTATTATGTTAAAACAACCGACATTTAAATGTTGTACTAGCATTCGTAGGCTGAAAACATTACACGCTGTCGACGAAATGACGATATATTCACCTTCAAAAGTTGGACATTAAATCTGGATAAATCTGGTCATATTTGTATTCTTGTCTTTCATTTTTGCTTATGTAATTTGTCTACAGATTGTCTATATACCATTTTGTTTATCTTTGTTGAAATAGTTATTTGTTTTTATAGTGATTAAGATTATAACACAATGTTGACGGCTGTACCCCAGTTTTTGACATTTTCAGCTCATTTGGCCATTAGGGCCAAGTGAGCTGTTCTCATCACTTGGCGTCCGTTGTCCGTCGTCGTCGTCCGTCTTCGTCGTCCGTCGTCGTTAACTTTTTACATTTTTAACTTCTTCTAGAGAACCACTGAATGGAATGAAATTAAACATGGTATGAATGTTCCTTATGAGGTGCTGACCAAGTTTTTTTTACTTTGTAGCCCATCCTTTATTCAAGATGGCCGCCAGCGGAGACTTCGTTTAACATAGGACCCTATGGACAATACATACAAATGTCTTCTTTTAGAGAACCACTGAATGGAATAAAACCAAACATGGCATGAATGTGCCTTACGAGGTGCTGACTAAGTGTTGTTTCTTTGAAGCCGATTAATCTTCCAAGATGGCCGCCAGCGGGGGACTTCGTTTAACATAGGACCCTATGGGAACTACATACAAATGTCTTCTTTTAGAGAACCACTGAATGGAATGAAACCAAACATGGCATGAATGTTCCTTATGAGGTGCTAACCAAGTGTTGTAGCTTTGTAGGCGATTAATCTTGAAGATGGCCGCCAGCGGGGGACTTCGTTTAACATAGGACCCTATGGACAATACATACAAATGTCTTCTTTTAGAGAACCACTGAATGGAATAAAACCAAACATGACATGAATATTCCTTATGAGGTGCTGACCAAGCGTTGTTACTTTAAAGCCGATCCATCATCCAAGATGGCCGCCAGAGGGGGACTTAGTTTAACATAGAACCCTATTGACAATACATTTAAATGTCTTCTTTTAGAGAACCACTAAATGACATGAAACCAAACATGGCATGAATGTTCCTTATGAGGTGCTGACCAATTGTTGTAACTTTGTAGGCGATCAATCATCCAAGAAGGCTGCCAGCGGGAAACGTAGTTTAACATAGGACTCTATGTGAAAAACAAACAAAAGTCTTCTTTTGAAGAACCACTTAATGGAATGAAACCAAACATGGCATGAATGTTACTTATGAGGTGCTGATCAAGTGTTGTTACTTTGTAGCAAATCCACCAACCAAGATGGCTGCCAACGGGGGACTTAGTTTAACAAAAGACCCTATTGGAAATATATACAAATGTCTTCTAGAAAAACGCTTAATGGATTGAAACCAAAAATGTTATGAATGTTTATTTTGAGGTGCTGACCAAGTGTTGTTACTTTGAAGCTGATTTGTCATCCAAGATGGCCGCCAGCAGGGGGAGGAAGTTTAACATAGGACCCTATGGGAAATACATACAAATGTTTTCGTCTAGAGAACCACTGAATAGAATGAGATGCTGACCAAGTGTTGTTACCTTGTTGCCGACCCATCATCCAAGATGCATGGCTGCCAGCAGGGGGAGGAAGTTTAACATAGGACCCTATGGGAAATACATACAAATGTTTTCTTCAAGAGAACCACTGAATAGGATGAGGTGCTGACCAAGTGTTGTTACTTTGTAGCCGAATCATCATCCAAGATGGCTGCCAGCAGGGGGAGGAAGTTTAACATAGGACCCTATGGGAAATACATACAAATGTTTTCTTCAAGAGAACCACTGAATAGAATGAGGTGCTGACCAAGTGTTGTTACTTTGTAGCCGAACCATCATCCAAGATGGCTGCCAGCAGGGAACTTAGTTTAACATAAGACCCTATGGGAAATACATATAAATGCTTCTTCTAGAGGAGCACTGAATGGAATGAAACCAAACATGGCATAAATGTTCCTTATGAAGTGCTGATGAAGACCTTAATACATGTATCTTTATAGATTGAGTTATTGAAACTGCAAAAATATCAAGAAAAGAAGATCTACACATAAGTCAACATGAGCAAAATTGTCAATAGACATCTTTTTTGGAGTTATTGTCCTTATAAAGTAATTTTCTACAATTTCAATGAATTTATTGGTAATTTATGTAAACTTTACAAAAGTCTTCTGCTTTTTATTAAATTACGGGACCAATATTAAACCAAATTTGGCCTCTTTTCATTATTAGGGTATCTGTTATGATTTTAATCAATTTTTAAATGATTTCGAAAACCAAAGTAGAATCAGGCGAGCGACACAGGCTCTTGAGAGCCTCTAGTTACCTACAATGTCTGTTTGTTTTGTTCACACATTGTTGTCAATATAAAATTGAGAGGTTTAGCTAGCTATAAAACCAAGTTTTATCCACCATTTTCTAGTTAAGGAAATACCTGTACCAAGTCAGGCATATTACAGTTGTTTTCCATTCGTTTGATGTGTTTGAGCTTTTGATTTTGCCATTTGATAAAGGACTTTTCGTTTTGAATTTTGCTTGGATTTCGGTATTTTTGTTATTTTACTTTTTATGCATATATCCAACTAATTTCCAGAATATACGATAAAACATTAAAAAAGCATCTATGGTTGTTCGCCATCATGACTGCTGGTACACGTGTAGTCCCTAAGAGTATTTCAAGCCCAGAAGTCATCACTCTTGTAGAGTACAGTATCATTGATAAGGTAATTTTGCTACGTTTGACTTGGTTTTCCATCTGGTGCGAATGTCTATTAGTCTTGTTTAGACAAAACGTTCATGATACCTTTTTAAAACCTACGAAATGATTCATCGAAACAGCATAAAGACGAATCGTCATTGTAGAAAGTAAAAATGTAGGAATAATAGAAGTAATGTCTGTTGAAATATCGTGTTAGTCTTTTACGATTAATAATGCGAATTTTGAATATGGTTATGAGGATTCATTGAAAATGAATGTTATTTTTGTTAGCTGCAACAATACAAACTCGATGCATAGTAAAATCAGATTATTACATGGCATTTTTCATATCAGATGTATTACCAGCCAAAGAGCCGAAGTCTCGAGGGCTGATAATATATCTGATATGAAAAAAGTAAAATAACAAAAATACCGAACTCCAAGGAAAATTCAAATCGGAAAGTTTCTCATCAAATGGCAAAATCAAAAGCTCACACACATCAGTAATTGGTCGTTTATGATGCAAATGCGAATTCCTTTCAACCTTTTAGGTCAGGTCAAAATAACACTCGAGATTTAACATTAAGAAAAAAAAAAGATGATTATTATGGATTATTGATACTATATCTTTCCCTTCATTTTAAGTCCTTCTGAAATTCAAGATTATTTTAACATTGGACCCTATCGTGAATGACTTGTTAATGTATTGAAATTGGACCAGAGTATCTGTGTCTCAAATTTGCTTTATCACCAGATATTTACCAGTGATGAACAAAACAACGAGTGCCTTTAACCTACACACGTAAACATTCTTTATCAATCGACGTATTCCCCACTTTTGTTTATATTAATTAATCGTCGTATTTATTAGGGTTGATTTTTGTACTGTTGGTTACTTGTTCATCTGGTTTCATTTTGACCTGGAATTAAGGTTATTAATTTCTCTCACCTAAATTTTTATTTTCGAGAAGTATTACAAAACTGGAAGATATGATATGCATGGATGATGATGCGACATATTTATCAAAGATTATGACCACTATGGGTTATAAATTTGAAAGCTGGATCCTAAAAATAGATGTGGTGTATTAATTGATAGCTAAAAACTTATTTACATTATTTCCTTCACGCACTTTGCAAAAGCCAGAGCAAAGTAGGAGTTTTAATCCTTTTGTCCTTCATCTCAGAGTCACAGCGGGATCTTAAAACACAGCAACGCTTTGACATTAGCAGGAAATGTTTGTTTAATGTCGATGCATCTCAATACTAGTGTTTTAACTTTTATTAATAAACTTCTTATTTATGATATTTATTGTGCTATGAGATTGTAAAAACAGACTACTATTACTCTTTATTTATAACAAATGGTTTCATATATTTCGGTGCAAATAAATGCATAGTTAAGCCAGGTTCAAACGTACTATGCAAAAAGAAAACATACTCCTTAGAACTTCCATATTTCGTACTCGTTCTTCCAACATACTTTACATAATTATCAGCATATAATTTAAACAGAAGCTTCTCTATTCAAAACAAGCGATCTATATAAATCACATCTTTATATTTTTTTTATAAAAAGATAAGAACAACATACATAAGCGAGCATATCATTTGTTTCTGTAAACATATAGAATGTTATATTTTTAGACCTGTCGGCCATGTAAGTCGGCAGGCGGGGTCATCGGACACAGTTTTTAAACAAAATACCCCAATGATGATTGTGGCTGAAAAAAACGAACACAAAAAATAATGTTTGTTTTTAGT